ATAACACCAGCTTTCCGAACAAATAACAACCTAGGCAAATATATCAAAAACAACAAGAGCCAAAATAAAAAACACTTAAATAGTGGTGTGTTCAAACTTAAATGTGGTGACTGCCCAAAAACTTACATCCGTCAAACTGGTAGAAACTTAAACAAACGAATTGCAGAACATAAAAGGGCTTTCGATAATAAAAAAAACAGATTGTACATACGCACTTCACCTTCTAGATCACAATCATTCTTTTAACGACGAGTTTAAAATTCTTCACATTCAAAATAAAGGCCTTAAGCTATCCTTGTTAGAATCTATGGAAATCATCAAATTAAAAAACACAGATATAATCTGAATGACCAACTCGAGACAGTTCTCCCCCTCCTCAACCTATTTCACTAGAGACTATAAAGTGTAAATACATGCCAAAAATATATCACTTGAGAATGGCAATCAGCCGAAACAGCTGTAGTGATAAGAGTTAAAATAAATTTTAGTGGAAGTTTGAAAACAAAGTTTTCAGTGTTTTATTGTTACATTTAGATAATAGTTTCTTGGAATTATTCATAGCAGGTATTATAGTGTATTTTTATGTATGAGAGAGTAATAAAACAATAAATTATGTATGCAAATCCCTAAACTGTTGATACGGGTGACTTAATGAAAAACAGATATTTGTCAACAAGTTTACAGAAGTATATGGGAAAACAATTTTAAATTGAGTATGACCACCAGGTATAAAGGTTGGAGCAGAATAGAATACAATAGTTGTGAGGGTTACTAATCCCTAAATAAGGTTGCCAGTGTCGGAGTGATGGAGGTTAACAGGTACTAATGAATTTGCAAGAAATGTAAGATGTTTATTTTATTGGTTATATATAACCAATAAAAGTTTAATAAGTACCTACCTATTTGCAAAATAAAGTTTATTTCTTTAGATAAAATAAAACGTTTTATTTTATCTGAAATGAGTGCATTCCACGAAGTAAGGGTTTCAACAATCAAACATTTAATTCTTTAATTCCAGGAATCTACGACAGTAATTGACTAAATAATTACCTTCTAAACTTATTCCACAGAAAATGTGATAGTGGGATTTTCCATTTTGTAGGAAGGTCCAAGTGGCGTATTCAAAATTCTTAACAGTTCACTAAAAGTAGGTACTTCAGTTGCAAGGTGCAGTTTATTGTGTATACTAGTGTTATGGAAAATTTGGAAGTACCGTGTAAACGCCGAAAAATTGGTCCTTTAACAGTTAATGAAAAAACATTAATATTTAATTGTCTTAAATCATTTACAGACAAACGTTTATGTGAAAGTGTTGATGAGACCGTTGAGTTAGTTAGCAGTACACTTGGTGTTGGGAAATCTACGATTTACAGAGTTATTAAAGAAGAGAAATGTGGTAGTTTTCAAATGCCACGTAATGCTCCAGGAAAACCAAAATTTCAAATAGAATATCATTTTAAAGAAGGACTTCGACGAAAAGTGCATGAATTCTTCTTTAGACAAGAATTTCCAACATTGGATAAAGTTCTTGTCTCAGTTCGAGATGATAAGGATTACCCAGAAATGAGTCGAAGACGTTATGGAAACTTTTAAAAGAAATAGGCTTCCTCTGGAAAAAGAATCCCAGAAAGTCTATTTTATTAGAAAGAAGCGATATTGTCATATGGAGAAGACATTTTCTAAGAACCATAAAGGAAATGAGAAACCAAAAATGAAAAATATTTTATCATGATGAAACATGGATCAACGAGGGTCATACACCAAATAAATTTTGGCAGTATGAAACTGTTACAAGTCAAAGGCACGCTTTTGTAAATAACTTATCTACTGGTTTAAACCCACCATCAGGAAAGGGACGCAGGCTGATAATAGTACACATTGGCAGTTCAGACGGTTTTGTTGAAGGTGGTTTATTAACTTTTGAATCAACTTGTACCGGTGACTACCATGAAGACATGAACGCTGATATCTTTCAACAATGGTTTGAACAAATAATAGATCTTCTTCCTAAGAACTGTGTAATAGTAATGGATAATGCAAGTTATCACTCCAGACTTATAGAAGGACTGCCCACAACCAAGTGGTTAAAAAAAGACTTGCAGAATTGGCTGAGTTCAAAAAATATTACGTACCATCCCAGATATATAAGAAAGTAACTTTATTCGTTGTGTGCTCTTCATAAAGAAAAATTTAAAAAATACGAAATTGATGAAATTGCCAAAAATCGTGGAATGACAGTACTTAGATCCCCACCATATCATTGTGAGTTAAACCCGTTTGAACTGGTATGGGCACAGATAAAGAGTGAAGTTTCAGGAAAAAATACCACTTTTAAAATTCATGATGTTAAACAGTTGTTTTTGGAGGCCGTAAATAATGTAAAACCTGAAAACTGGAAAAGGCAGTAAATCACACTATTAAATAAGAGGAAAAAATGTGGAAGCTGGACAATATTACTGATAAAATGATCGAGCCAGTTATTATAAATCTTGGTTCTGAAAGTTCATCTTCTGAATCTGATTTGGATTTGTAACAAGTAGCTGTAAGTTTTATATTAATATTTTTATTCATCTATTTAACATACCTTAGACGGTTTTAAAAACTCTTTTTCTCTTTTGTAATTTTTAAAAATTAAAAAAAATGTGAATTTTTTAAAACCCTTTTTAATGTAGGCCAGTCAGTGGTAATATAGTGTGTGATAAAAGAGGTCACTTTTGTTTACATACACATAACACTTTATAACACTGAAATAATTCATTTATTTTTTACAATTATTCAAAGTAATTTTTCAATTAATCTTGAGCACGCCCATGGAGTGGTCGAAAGTACCAGTTAAAATTATGCTAATTACTCTCTCGTTCATAAAAATAAACTATAGGTAAGGTAACTACGAAGTAATTTTATTACAAATATCTACTAAATCTACAAGTTTTATTGTGTGGGAAAACCCATCTGGGAATTATTTATCCGAGGAATAGGGCCAACATGCAGGTAGGTATTATACAGTAAATTCGTTTTTAAATCCTCTTTACTAGTTGGGAAAGCAAATTGTGATTATGAATATTGTGCTTTTGAAAGAAAAATAATTTCTTTTTTGAAAATATGCCGAAAGTCTATTGCGGAGTTGGGTTGGTGACAACAGTGAAATGAAGATTATAGACAATGAAAATTCTTTCTGTACTATTTGTGATAAAAAGGTGAGTCCACTTATATTTTAAACGATTCAAACATTTAATTTAAAATCTTATTTTTGCAAGAAAATCGGTATACCCATACTAAACATGTAACAGGTTGACTATTGACGGTAGTTTTAGTTTCGAGAAAAAAAATATAAGTTATCTTAAAAATTTGAAGTCCATATTATTGCATTAGACTCCTATTTACTAAACAGTTTTATGACAGATTCCATGTGAAAAAAAATTCCAAATTTAACAACTCCTAAATATGGCTCTGAAAAACAACATTATTCAAAATCGTCACACATCGACGGGGCAAGAAATGTTTGCAAAAGATGTATGCATTTTTTTTGTAAGTTGCAATATCCCACTGTATAAATTGGATAGCAAGGTTGGTCAAAATTTTTTGAAAACATATTGTAAAGTTGAAAATAAGTCAGTACAGGTACCAAGTTCTTGAACTCTTCGCAAGAAATATGTGAGGGCATCTTACAAAGATGTTATTTAAGGCATTAAAAGCTAGGTAAGAGATAAATATCTGTCTACGAGACTACTGACGCCAAGGGTCGGCAAATCGCGAATTTAATTATTAAAATTTTAAACAGTTCAGCTGATGACTCCAAGTCGTATTTAATCAGCGTAAAATGTTTAGAAAAAACCAACTATACAATAATTGCTCGATTTGTTAATGAATCTTTGACAAATTTCGTTTTACCGAATCAAGTACCTTCTGAATAAATTTTGCTACTAGTTGGCGATGCTGCTTCCTACATGGTTAAAGCTGTTACTAGTCTTAACTAGATTTTTTTCCGAATTTGATTCACATGCTTTCCGATATCCCTTTGCCACCGGAACCAATGTTGACTAGCTGGGGGACGTGGTTGAATTCAATAGTGCCATATTTCTTGCAAATAATTAAATTGATATCAAAAATGTTATATCAAATTTTGATCCTTCTTGTTGTATTGCTGTTCAGAAATGTTAAAATATTTTTAGTGAGAATTCTGTTTAGAATGAACTGTCCGATATAACAGCAAATTTTGACATAATTGTAAACTCTATTAGAGAGTCAAAAATTATCTTTAAATAATAGTATTTGCATTGTTGATTTTGTCAAACAAAGAATAGTAAACCTTTCAGGGACAATTGGAAAACAAATTAAAGATAAATTTACTGAAGTTTTAAACCGGAATGAAGGCTTTTCTTTATTGCGATCAATAAATAATATAATCAATGGAAGCTTTACCGAAGTTATTAACATGGATCCCTCGCTAGTGTCAAATTTTAGATTTGCGCCAATTACATCCTGTGATGTTGAAAGATCGTTTTCCTCATATAAACACATATTAACTGGTAGAAGGCATAATTTTATGATTATATACTGCAACAACAAGAACGAGGACATTTTCTTGTGAATTTCCATCTATATTTTTTTATGAAATGTAGTAATCAATAAACACTCAATTAAGTTATACTATAATTTTATTTCTCACCAAATCTCAAGCACTAAAAATTAAAAAATATTTTTTTAAAGTGCATATATGTTATCTGGTTATAACTTATGTAGTAGAGTAAATCGTTTTAATAACTATTTGTCAATAAGTATTACATTTAATACGTACTTATGATTATACAGGGTGTAAAAATAATAAACACGTTGCTGAATTTAAAATTTCTTTAAAAATATTCTTAATTCGTTATTTGTCTATGAAACATACATTTCCCCTATTTCTCCTATAATTAAGATATTGAACTCCGTAAAATAAATTAATAACTGTGTATATATTTCTAAAAAAAAGCCATAAAATTTTAAAATATACTTACATATAAAGGCACATCCGTTGGTTTAGTTGGATATCTTACTTCTCCTTCTTCGACCGCCTTTACACCATAGTATTGCTCCCAAACACTGGGCCTGTTGTCACTAGCAGACTTCAATAACGTTTTCTTAGGATACGTACCGATTTTCTTCGACTTTTTGAGAAGGCCCTCGTTTCCCATTTTCGCCCTACATAAAGTTCCGTAGATTAAAGCGTTTCTTACTATATTTGGTACACTAACTAGATTATCGTGAATAAACACAGGCAAATTTTGATGGTCCTTTAAAGAATCACTAAAACCACTACTCGATGATCTTGAAGGGACTTCATAGGCATCCTCAGTTTCCGAAGATATGGTTCTATTCCTACTACTGGAAGTTTTACTGGAGTTACCGCTAGAAGTTGAATTGCTTAAAGCTCGTATGACGGAGTTCTTTTTACGGCAATTGGTGAGATTCACACAAAGTCTCTTCATTTCTTCTTCGGTTGATGCTCTCAGGGTATCAAGTTTAAGTCGTATTCTTTCGTCGATAATCTTAAGCATATTTTCAGGTGGTGTTGCGTTTCTACCTGCAACGTGTTAATAATTAAATGTTAGTTATTTTTTATAAGTTTAAATTAATATCAAAAATATCGTAGTTGTAAAGATTACAAATATAGAACTATCAAAAAAAGTCGTCAATATAGACAATGGAATCACTTATTTCTTCGAGTAAGTAGTAGCGTTGTAATGGTTTTTCATGTAGGTAGGGTTTTGTCATTTTACGAAACTTAAGGAAAGAACATACAGATTTAAGTTACAAAGGGAGATGGTTGTATATTTTTTTTGTCGAATATAATATAGATTGTTTTACTAACTCAGTAGATGCGATAGGTAAATACACATCAAAGGTTGAATTTCTGGTGGAGTAATCATGATTAGGTCTTGCTGGAAAAACATGTGGGTGTATACGAATTAAACAAACAATTTCTAAAATATATAAAGTGGAAAGCGTTACAATCCCGTGATTTTTGAAGTAGCTTCTGCAATGTGTTATTCTACTGAGGCCAAAAAGATACCGTATTGCTCTTTTTTGTAATTTAAAAATAACATCAGATTGGACAGCTGTACTAGAACCCCGAAAAGAAAGACAAAATCGAAGATGAGACTTGAATAAAAAAAATAGTACGTTATTTTGTGAGATGCTAAATTAATTTCCTTCGAAACATATCTTATTGCATAGCAGGCTGAGGTTAGTTTTTTACTATTTAAGTGGGAATAAGCCATAATTAAAGATAAAAATACGTTTATTGACGTTTCAATTTCCACTTCGGAAATCGTTCTCAAAATACAAACAGTAAATTAAACAAATTTTGTTTTTTTTTAACAGCAAACACGTTGAGATCTATTTTGTCCAAAACCAAACCTAACAATGAACAAGAAAGGACAAAGAATGTTTAAGTTGTCTTAAAAATTTGAAGTCCATATTATTACATTAGACTCCTATTTACTAATCCGTTTTATTACCTATTACAGAAAGCTAGGTAAGAGATGAATATCTGTGGATATCTGTTGACGAGACTACTGACGCCAAGGGTCGGCAAATCGCAAATTTATTATTGAAGTTTTTAACAGTTCAGCTGATGACTTCAACAAGTCGTATTTAATCAGCGTAAAATGTTTAGAAAAACCAACTATGAAACAATTGCTCGATTTGTTAATGAATCTTTGACAAATTTCTTTTTACCGAATCAAGTACTTTCTGAAAAAATTTTGCTACTAGTTAGCGATGTCGCTTCCTACATGGTTAAAGCTGTTACTAGTCTTAAGATTTTTTTCCGAATTTGATTCATTATACATGCTTAGCGCTTGGTTTAAACAGGGTGGCAGAGAAAGTTAGACTCGTTATAACATCAATCTTATATTAAAAAAAGAGAATTTGATAGGTCTCAAATATGTAAACACGCATGGGATAATGAACATAGGGTTCAATGGAATAATTCAAATGTAGTCCTAAAAGAAACGGATGGTAAAAAAAAGAAAAATCAAAGAAGCGGCTCTAATTATGTTAAATGAGGCCAATTGTGTCGCAAATTTCTCGGCAGAATGTAGTAGGATCTGGTTACCGATATTGAAAGAGGAAGTTATTAATAAGAAAATACCAGTATAAGTAAGTCAGTTGTTACATACATAACAACTCAGTTGTTATCAACAGGTCGTCGAAGACACTACGTCTCAGGACCATATAACCTATGTAGGGTCATACGTCGCCATGTTACCAATTCCAACGGTAACTTAAACATCATAATTTATAACCATATATAATGTAAACACAACTGTAAATTTATATCATTTAAAGGGTTTTGACTCATATATTTTGGTGGCTCATAGCATGTATACCTTGTTTACACTGATGATGGATTTAACAATCCAAAAACGTTTTGTAATATAATTGTGACAGCCCGTTTGGGCATTTTATTATATACCTTTTATAAAGGATTTAAAATAAATTTGTTGTAAACTAAATGCACAAACCATGTCGGGATAGTATTATGTAATCGAATGAACTATCTTATAAGTAAAGTCGTCCCAGGAGCGCAACTCAACAATATTGGCAATATCATTTTAAAGTTGTCTACTTTAAAATGCCTAATGTATGTCTGAATTGTTAATATAAATGAGTCAGATAAAATTAAATTATTAGAAGAATTTTTCACTATGTAACAAAAAACAAAATTTCTTTAATTTACTGTTTGTATTTTGAGGACGATTTCCGAAGTGGAAATTGAAACGTGAATAAACGTATTTTTATCTTTAATTGTGGCTTAATCCCAGTTAAATAGTGATTAATTTAAAATGCTACAAGAAAATAGCTTCAGAACAATGTTAGTTTTTTACTTAAAAAATTAATATAAAGGGACTATTTAAGGCTGCTGTCCATAAAAATAGCAAAAAATTATACGGAAACAACGATACTAATCTAGCTGTTAGTAAGAAGCAAGGGTTGAAGTGCTCCATTATAGAATAATGCTACTCTCTTATCCTTGTTGAAAGAGAGTAAATTAAAGTCGAACCAGGTTTTTATTTTAAGTAGATCAAAAGTTATAGTGTTATAAGGAGTTGAAGGTTTTTAGTTCTTCCAGGTGATACTGGTATCATCAGCAAAAAAAAATTCCGTCGATTTTTAGGTTAATGATGTCATTTATAAAGATAAGGAAAAGGAATTTGGTGCTCCGCATACAATGCTTTTATGACTAGAGTCAGTATCATTTACTCTAACTAGTTGTTTCCTGTTCTTTAAGTAAAATTGGAACCAATTTAAAGCAATACCTCGAATTCCGTAAAAATTTAGTTTTTATCAAAAGGCTGTGATTTACACAATCAAAAGCTTTGGCATATTCACAAAAAACAGTGGTAGTGTAAAGATTATTACTTAGTGCTTGATACACCTGCTGATCACTGGTACATTTATTTGATAAAAAACTGAACTGGCATTATGATAAAATATTGTTTTTAACGAAAAAGGACATAAGCCTGGCTTTTATAATTATCTCAATAATTCTGGAGAGGACCAGTAGTAAGGCAATAGGTCTAGAGTTTCAGACATTTGATTTTTCACCACCCTGATAAAGAGGAATAATAGTGGGCAATCTTTGGGCACTCTGTAAATATACCTTGTTCAAAGAAATCATTATTTAGATCAGTACTACAAGAAAATTTGCTTTTGAGACTACTGATTGTTTGGATCAGTTCAGATTCATCAATCGGTCATATAAAGAATGACTTCGAGACCTTTATTGAATTGGGAAAATAGAAAGTAGGATCTCGTTGTGGTAAAATAGTTGATAATATATTTTTACTCGCATTAACGGATTTATTTAGATTTTCAGGGATTATGAAGAGAAACATTTTTGAGTTATGTTAGTTTTAATTCGAAGATCGTTTATTATAGACCAAGGTTCTCTTGCAACATTTTTAGAGCTTCCCAGATGATTTTAATAGTACATTTTTGTAGCTGTTTTAATACGTTTTAGATAGGTTCCTCTATACTTAGAGATATGGTTAGTGGGTTAGTAGTAACTGGGAACCAGCTAGCAAATCTAATGTTATGAAACTAAAAAAATTTTAATCTTAAATTTAGCAAAGTACTAACCAGCAAGCGAAGAGATTGAAACGATATGATCCCCTTGACTTACCAAACCGTTCCTGACAGTGCCTACAGTAGTGCAAGCTACGCCCTCAACAGCGTCCAACCATTGTCATCTATGCTGCTTTTAGTATTCGTGTATACGTATCTGTATATGTAGGTATCTCACCAGTAAACAAGCCAATATTTGTGTTCTAATTCTTTTTTCACTGAGCCTTATTGTTATTTTTTTTATTGTTATTGTTAAACAATTGGTAAAAAATCTTAGATGTTATTAAAAAAATATTCTAGTCCTTCCTTATTAATGGCAGTACTTATTTTATGACGTATTTTGAGTTTATGTAAATAGAAAAATTGGTGTAATATTTTCAATTTATATTTAAATAATTTAAGTACTGTTTTACGAGCTGTTACATGTGTAGCTGCAATATTTAGATAAATCAATATTAACCTACATCTGTATGATTTTACAAGACCCACATTCATTAAAACAGATAAGAATTACGTAAAAGTACAGGTTCCTTGTTGAAATGTGTACATATCAGATTTAAAAGAATTTTTCACAAAAATAATATCGTACACTAAAAAATCTATTTAGATGTGACTGTCAAATTGTCATTCATTAAATTCATTAAACTTATCCCATATATATCCAGCCTCCTAGTGGTGGGATCCGGAACAATAGGGAAGCTTTAAGGAATATGGCTAGTATTATTAGAAGTACTGCTATTAAAATACTGAAACAAAAACCTTTAAAAAAAGTTTGAGAATAAAAAAACCTAGTAATGGTTACACGAAGAAAAAATAAGGGACAAGAAAAAACGTTATAAACAGTGGTAAGAAAACAGTTAGGAAAACAGTGACAATAAAAGAGATAGAAATAAATAAAAAATGCTGAAATTCTATACATCTTGGAAAAGTAAATGATAGAATTATTCTAGAAATTCTAACGTGATTGCTTGATGAAAAAGTAGTTTTAGATAAGTGTATGAAGTATCTAAGACAGATGTATGAGGAAGTAACAATCAGGGAACTAACGATTTTCTCATGACACTCGTTGATACAGGTATCGAAACACTGCTTTTGATAAATTTGGTAATAATAATATGTAATAAACAAAATATACAAAATATTAAAAGTCATTTTTTACTTATAAACAATATATATATATATATATATATATATATATATATATATAATATATATATATATATATATATATATATATATATATATAGACAATGTAAGATCGCTATTTATCAAGGTGAAGACCGGTAAATTATATGGAAAAGTGGCACAATTTTTACTGAAAAAGCATAGAAAATTCTTAAAAATGAGGATTTGGAAAGCTATTTTTGTTGTTTAATTATTGCAATAATCAATTTTTTTTAAACTTATTTATAACTTTTTTAAAATATACAAAAAACTTTCATTTGGCGTGAAAATAAGGCCAACATCACATATTATGAGCTTTAAAAATTTCAAAAAGTTTCACCTAATATTTATTGCAAAATTGAAATTGTTTATCCCAAAAAGCTCTTATCTGCAACGTTACTATGCGTAAAGTATCGAGTCTACATGAATTCTGAAAGCATTAAATTTAGTAAAAAGGCATATTTTGTCAAATTAAATCATTTAACAATTAAAAAGTTTATAATAAATATTGTAAAATAGGTTAGCAAAAGTACTGTGAATATTAAGCTTATAAACAATTAAAATAATTCGTACAGAATAAGATGTAGGAAATGATTTTTTTTTCTCCATGTTGGCATTTTTACACGAATTAAAAAAAAACATAATGTCCTACGACCTGAAAACCTGAGTTAGCCCTTTTATTCTAAAATTCCCCAGGGCTTTGTTTCTATTAAAAAGAGCAATTTGAAACTTTAAAAGTTTGAGTTTCGACAAAGAAAAATTAAAACTATTCCTTTAAAAATTGGCATGTTATGATACGTCAAAGATAAAGCGTTTAAAAACGAAGCAACTTTAAAAACTGAATTCATAAATTCAAAATTATAAATGTTGCAATATCTCCGGCAACATATGGCATAGATTTTAAAAATGCTTTTAGTTAATTTCTGAATTATTTATTTAACCGAGTAATTTGTTGAAACGATTTAAAATAAATATTTATCTTGCAAAATTTTACTTTTTACTGCATTTTAGAAGAAAAGGTTATGGAATAATAAGTAACTTTAATATTTTTCTATTATAGTTATCAATAATATCTTTTCACTGAACTTGAAAGTACGATGAAAGAAGTAAACGTAATAAATGATGCAGAACTGAATACCCAGAATACAATAATAATATGAGACTTCTACCAAAATAAAATAAATAAGACATTACAGAAATACGAAAATATAAACAAGAGAAGTAATATACTAACTAACTAAAGAATCCTGTGAAATTAATAAAATATTGAAAAACCAAAAACAAACCAAATGGTGAAAAATCCTGTAAAAGTGACTATCACTGATTAAAAAGAAGCACGAAGATAATTAAAATAAAATTGCTGAATTGCCAAAAATAACATCATAATATTAAGAGGGTACAAGAGAAGAGAAATATACGGCATAAGAGATCAAAATAACAAGTTACAAGATAATGCATACAAAATGGTAAAAAAAATTGGAAAGAGTATGACACCTGTAAACTTAAATTGGAAGAAGACAAAAACCACAATCGTGAACTCAAATGAGACATTAAATTCAAAGGAATAAGAGAATAGGACATGGAAAATAGGGGAAGAAGAACTTAATCAAGCAACAAAACTTATTAAAAGTAGTAGAAAATATGTGAAGTAGTGAAAAAATAGCTCATAGATCAAAATCTACTCTATGTTCTTTTCTTCTATGGTGAGGTACCACCCAAACTATTGAGTTGGGATGTATCCAAAAAGTGAATATGTTTGGAGTTATTGGATTTTGTATTCGATGAATAAAAGTCTATTTTTGAACATTTTTATAAGTTTTATTTTATATCTGAATAGTTTTCCCGATAAAATTGAAATTTTTTGAGTTATTCGCCAAACACCGTTTAAATCAATGTTTGTCATAAAATTTACTATTCTAGCGACTCCCAGTTGTAGGGAGTTGTGGGAAGGCGGTAACCTCAGATGAAAAACACATATTGGTATATGGTAGTTTTTTGACCTTTAAGGTATTTTCTACCTACTATCAAAATTGCAAACAAAACTATGCATATAAAAGAAATTCTCATCATCAATGTAATGAAGCATTGAAGACAAATAAAATACCAAAAAATTGAGAAAATAATATTATTCAACAAGAAAAAGAGAACTAATACAAACACTAGAGACAAACGCAACAAAAAAATCCGACCCCTAACAGGTGAAAAGAGTTTATAGACGAAGAAGAAGTATATGGAAATTCTAGAGGTGAAACCATTTGATACTAAAATGGTACAGCATAGGTTGGGATGATTCAAGTATATTTAACGTCGAAACCTTAATTATCTAATACGAAGAATTGCTAATTTGTTCCTGTAGTTCCTGGGAGAATAATTAGGAGAGGAAGACTAAAGAAAACCTGAGGGGGACACTTACACAGAACATGTTGAAAAAGGGAATTGATATTTATTTACTAGTATTCTTCTTTCTCTTCTTCTACTTTTTGTAGATCTTTCCATCTGTTTAATTCTGAAGCTGCCTCTGTTTAATTTCTTGGGAGGTAGATTGCCAACTATCCCTCCATCTTTTAGGTGGTCTTCTGGGGGGTCTTGAACCTGGCGGATTGTTTTCTAGGGTAATTTTTTGGGAGTATATTATCATCCATTCGTCTTACATGGTTGTACCACATCCTCTTGCGCTGCTTTCCCCATCTTACAATATCTTGAATTTTGCACTGCTCTCTAATGTTTTGTATTTCTCGCTCTGTCTCTTCTTGTTTTCCCCATTATTGTTCTTAGGGTTTTCATTTCGGCAACCCTTAGCATCTGTTTCGTTTTGTTAGTATCTTCGCGCACTTCTATGCCATATATCATGATCGGTCGTATGCAAGTCTTAAAGATTCTAATTTTACTATCTGTGCGCATATACGGATTTGACCAGACTATCTCCCGCAGACATCCTGATAGTGCAGATGCTTTGTTGATCTGACTCCTCAGGTCCTTTACTGGTCGTGGGTGCTTGATATATCTATGCCCATATATCTGAATTGCATCACCTGTTCTATGGGTTGTCCTCAACCACTAACTTACATCTGAGCGGATCTTTTGCTATTGTCATACATTTAGTTTTGTTGGTAGAGATGTTCATATTTAGTAGTCGGCTTGTTTGAAAGAACTGAAAGAGCTGCCTTTGGAGATCATCTTCTGATTCGGCAATAATTGCTGCATCGTCTGCGTAACACACCATACCAATTCTTTTGTTGTCCATTTTATATCCGAGATTAAGAGATGTTACTTTGTTGATAATTTTGCCATGAGAAGATTAAACAAGAAGGGCTTAAACTGTCGCTTTGTCTAATTCCTCCCGGTGTTGGAATATTTTCAGTGAATTCGTCTGTGAATTTATAGTGAATTTATTTACTAGTATTACTTTTATTTATTATTTATGTTACCGGAATTTTACCCAAAATTTATTATTTTTATTTATTATTACAGTTTTCTAAATAATCACAAATTAAAAATCTTTAGACAAACAATAACAGCTTCATCATTACAATATAGAAAACAGTACGAATTTTACTTACCTTCTAAGGTTTCATTAATTCCATTCAGAATTTCCAAAAGCAAATCCTTTACAGAAATATCAATGCAGGTTTCTAGAGGTTTTACTTTATCCGGGTGATAGTTTAAGCTTGTATACAGGAGAAGAGCGTCATCAACTATGGAGTCATATTGGTCTAGCAGTTTTTTGTCGTGAAGTGGCCAGATAGGTTTTGGCACAGGGAGATCAACTTTACCTTAAAAAAATAATTAAAACAGACACGGTGCAAAAATAGCTTAATTTTGTAATAGTATTAATATTAATAGAGAAATGTTAAATTTTTTATGCCTTAGCGTGCATTTCTTAGCTGACGCAATTTTATTTTTTTTTTTTTTTGTATTAGGAGGGGGGTAAGTATTAAGCTCAAGTTTAGGTTGTTCAAACCTTGTCCTCCGGCCGCCATCTTTTGTACAATAAAATAGTGTTAAAACAATATTATAGAGGGTTTTGCAACGAATTATTTTACTGCAAATTTGTATAATTTCGTTAATTTGTCTCGGTTTTACAGCGCTCTAAAGTTGACCGGATTCTTGATTACTGGAAAGAATACTAAAACGATTTTGTGGGTATCTGGGATTACTTTCGTATAATAAAGGGCTCTCTCTTTGGGTTGAGATTGAGCGGGAAATTGATGTCTGTGAATGCTCCTATTATGTGATTTTCGAGGTAACCGTTTTGAATGAGGGCCTTTTTTTACATGTTTTACATGTTAGAGCTCAGCTGGTCTACTTGCGTCATAGAATAGCGAATTGATTGGGAGACAAAGGTATAAGTAATTAAATTAATTTGTGTAGCCCATCTTATGCAGGTATTAAAATAATTAGTTCCTGTATCTTTTTTACTTTTACAATTGTAGTAGTAGTTGCTGTTGTAGGCTTTAAAATTTCATTTAGTTCTTTTTCTTGTAATACTTTACAAATTTCTTATAGTTGCCCCATTCTTCAGTCCGTTTAAACCAATAATATAACTATTTTCGACTTGTCCCTAATACTCTTTTTATAAAATTTAAAACTCTTCGGCAATAGGAAGATGATTTGGATATTTCCATCACTTGACCTTAGTTGTTGTTCATTTGGGTGGCCTTAAGCATAGTCAAGTAAAGGTTTTATGGTCAAGTTAGATCTCTTTACAAACTTTTTAGGTTCTGGGACAAAGTCTTTATGGAACCATTTACTAAATGCCTCCCTTGTGACCTAACTTTAAAATCGGTTTTTGGAACAGACTAGCAAACAAATAAAATGTTTTGAAAGCTCTGCCATTTTTTAGCTTTACCAATCACTAACAAATCCAATGTGTGTGTTTTAGTAGCATTTAAATATTATTTAAAAGTAATTCTACCAACTGTTCTAAGAGGCACCTATCTCAGAATTTGTTTAAACTTCAGAGACTTTGATGAGCTGATCATGTAGTGATAATGGAGACCAGAAGATTTCCAAACAGAGCTCTTGATAGTAAAAATTGAATTTTCTACACTTAATGTTTTATACAATTTTCTGTAAGGTTGCTAATTTCTAGATACAGCTCGAAAACCCTTGCCCTTTGTTTTTCCAAGAGGGCGGCCGATAAGGGTGGTGACACATCAAACAAATAAAATTGCTCAAAAATGTAATCTTAATGTAACATTCCAATGGACTATAAATAAATTTCAAGTTTAGGATGATACTCGTAAAAAGCTAATATTTTATATGAAAATCTACTGATAGCAAATAAAAGATAATTCTATGGCAGAATATATGAGAGCTAATCGAAACTGACAGTTTTCCAATACACTCACAGGCACAAAAAACGGAGCACCTGCATTCTTAAAATAAAAAATTAAAATTTTAATTTTCTAAGTGCCTATCCAAAAAAAAATGTATAAAAAATCATAAATAAAGCATTTACTATTCTTACCACTTTTAAAAGTGCAAAGGTAGCTGTTTTTATTCTATTATTATTCTTTTGTTCTTGTTGGTGTCAGTAAATGTTCAAGTCGAATCAAGTGTCAAACACAATTTGAAGTTGAATTGTGTTGATTTAATTTCAAGAATTATGGTTGTAAATCCCGAAACATCGGCTGCTATTGTTGCATTGCTTGAAAACGAAAGAAATAACGATATGTTGCTTAAAAGTATCAAATATCCAATAAAACTGTACACCGTATTTTTACATGTTTCTTAGCAACATGAGATTACACTAGACGTCCTGAAACCGGTCCGCAACGAAGAACTAGTGCCCGTAATGATCGCTTCATCCTTTTACAAAGCTTACGAGATCATCGTGCCACTGCTCTACACGAAATCAACTTTAGTATGTCTGGAATACTAACTTAAGTGAACAAACAGTTAGACAAAGGCTTGGAGAGGCAAATTTAAGCAGTGGCAGACCTCCAACAGGCCTACAACTTCTCAGGCCCCATCGAGTTGCGCGGCTTCAGTTTGCCAGAAACCAAGCTCATTTTACTGTAGATAATTGGAGGTACGTTTTATATACCGATGAGTCCAGTAAACCTTGAGAACGTAATACTTGCGGTATCCAGATAGAGACTAGCGTATACCTAGCGGGGTACATTTGCTGTGATTGGTGGAAGGGCGTGTCTTAATTTAAAATTTGGCGGATTAAATGTTTATTGAACTGAAAATGGGTTATTGGTAGGAAGAGGATAATATTCGTATTTTAGGATTAAGCAGACTTATTACAGATATATTTGAAATGTCTTTAATTTTCCTACACTGAAAATAACAAGGTACATTTGCTGTGATTGATCGGTAGATGTTTATTAAAATGTAACTTGGGTATTGTTGTTTGTTTGTGTTTAAATGACTGCAGACACTAAATCCATTCGCCAATCTTACAATTTGTACTCATTTTTTAATTAGTCATTGTTTCCTATACAATCTTATCCTAAATCTATTACTACTATTGAGCTCTAATATATAGTCTTTTGTTTCTATTAGGTGCTTTTAGTTATTTATATATAAAATAAGTGATGAGGTCCTCAGAGTTTCCACAGTAAACTCTTCTGCAGCTATCTACTTAATTCAATAGCTACTTCACTGTGGACTGTGCAAGTTCCTTTTTTTTTATTTGTTGCTTATATATTTTTTTGATTTTGTTTTTTTTTTCTAACAAATTGCAAAGAAATACTTATTGTATATTTACAATTACAATATAAGTTTAATATCTAAAACATGTTTATACAATAATCTATATAAAAACTCATTGTTTTCTAATGTTAATAAATAACTTAAATTAATGGGATGGTGGACATCGGTGAAAGAATACAGCGAATTTAAAAAATTATTAACCTTATTGGAAATAAGAGAACAGTCCAAAATTTGATGTTGTAGGTTACCCATCTGACCACAAGTACATTGTGGACTATCAGCTAGACTCATTTTAAACATATATGATGGTATAAAACAGTGCATAATATGCAGAATGAGATAATACTATATTATAGTTCTTGTCACATGCTTTGTCAACTCCATTTTAGCAAACCAAGATTTATCAGTAATATGGTTTCTGATTCCTCTGTAATGGTTTCCTGTATTCTCATTAATATATCTTTCTTTCCATTCCTTCTTAAGCTCTTTGAACGTTTCTGATTCTATATATCTAGACGTACAAAGATAATGAGTTAATACTCCTTATGTCACAGCGTTT